TTTTCTTTGTTTGCTCTTTTTTTTCCATTCTAGGCATTTGTTTTCACATCAGACTCATTCTCAAAAGATGCAGCTTTTTCCCATATCAGGATTAAAACCTCAATAAAACCATCAAATTTTATCAGTGTGTTAAAAATCTGATTTCTCCTTCATTGCCAATATCTTATCTTACTTGGGATTTTTTTATCTCAAACAAAAGGACCAAATAATATTTATTTTTTCCTTTTCTGCAACAAGGGACGTGCAGTTTGTCATGTATCCAGGTGCAAAACACCTAACATCATGTGTCTGCTGTGCACTAACGTTTATTTAAAAAGGTACTGTTTCTGGAGTGGTTAAAGCGAATAGACCTTTTTCCCATTCCGGGTAGATCTTCATGATTTTCAAGCTGAATTTTGATTTAAAAAACAACCTTTTCTCTTGTATACAAGAAAAATATCTTTCCTGTAACAGTTCCATAGAATTATGAAATAAATTACTTCTGGTTGAGAGTGATGAGCATGTGGTGTTGTGTTCAAGACAAAATTTTCAAAGAAAATCAAGTGTAAAAGGTCAGCATTTGCGAGTATTTTTTATTGGTGTCTTTTAGATAAAATCAATTATCGAAAAAATGCCAAATTTCCCACAAAGTATGTTTTTCTCTTTGCATTTGGAACCATAATTATAACATAAGAATGTTGTTTGAAATGGGAAAGGGTCTGGTCAATATTTTTCACTTAATTTACTCTTACAATTTGTCTTTCATATAACCAGTCTTTTCTGCAACAGCTATTTTTTTATTGGAAAGACCTTCAGTGTTACTTCAAAGAAACATCAATATTCATTAGTCACATATTCTTTTATGTTAATGTCAATGTCATTAACAGTTGACTTGTTGTAATGATCTAAGGTCTATGTATGCTGAGGCTGAAACATGTTTTCACTTTCTTGTCTGAATGCAATCATACTATTTTTTGTCAAAGGTCGTTATTGGAAAGACACATTCTGTAACTGCAAAGACAATTCAACACAAATTTGAAAATAAACGTTATTTCTGGTAGGTCCTTGTTTATCAAGATTTGCTGTGTGCTCATATTAGGACCTTTAAGATTATATTTTGAGTAACCATTCATATTTTCCCTAAAAAGTCGTATGCTATATGTCTTTCAAAAATAGCTGTTACTTGAAAGAGTTATGTTGTAACTGCAAAAACAGTTTAATACTAATTATCTTTCATTTTTATCTTTCTTTCCTGATTCATTCAGATGAACATCAAATATATGAGATCAGATAAACTTATGCTTCACAAAGAAGTATGTTGTAGAAACTTTGAATGCTTTGATGCACTTTTTAAAGACTGTTATTTGAAAGACAGTGTCTGACTGTGACTATAATAAATATGACATCGTAATGATCAGTCTGCAAATCCATCAAAGTGTTAACATCTAGTTTCCTATATAAAGTTATTGTGTCATAATCTGAAACAAAATTTCAATAAAATATTCACTTCTGTATGTTTCCCAAAACTGGCAAGATGGGTATGACATATGCGGAGATTAATTTTAGTGATTGATTTGTTACTTTGACAGCTCGAGGGAGATGATCAAAACTTTGATACTTTTGTTAGTTGCAAAATTTGTTGACAGTTTGAGGAAGATGATCAAAATTTGGATACTTTTGTTGGTTGCAAACCTGTTTGATAGTTTGAGGAATGTGATCCAAACTTGGAAACTTTTGCTGGTTGCAAACCTGTTTGACAGTTTAATAAATTCATGGCAATTACAGTCAAACTTGTTGTGAAATGAGTTTCTGAGTTCCTAGAAAACAAAGTTCAAAATTGTAACTGCTACCTTTATTGTTGTTTATTCAAAGCACACTCTGTCTAAAGTTTTTATTGAACACAAGAAGTTAATTTTTCTTTGTCTTCCATAAACTTGATCTGAAATGTCTTTCCAATAACACTGACATGTCTTTCCAGTAACACATAGGCTAATTTCCAAATTATAGACTATGTACTTTGCACCTCAAGTGTGGTAAAATCAATACTTTTATAAATATACTTTTATCTTCATTGCCATAGATGTATTCTTATCCTACCTCAAATATGCGTTTGAATTGTCTTCTCTGTAACAAACATGTATCATTACTCGCATTATTTGGAGATATAAACATGTAACAATTACTATACTTCTGAGGGTAACAGGCAAAAAACTCTTCCTTTCATTACAGATAGATCAAAGATATTTGCTACAATTTAATCGTTTTTCAAATATACTTGATTTACTTTCTTTCCAAAAACATAGGGTATCTTTGGCATAACGATACTGTCTTTCATAAAACGGGACTAAACAGTAAGTGTTTTATTATCTAAAGAGTAAGACATTGTCAGAAATTACTCTGAAATATCAAAATGTTCTCTTCAAATCAACTTCAGAGCAATAATTTTTGAGGGGAGACAGCTGGAAGGATATCAAGAGTATTGCAAAGTACCCACATATTTCCCTTTTTCATGTGACACAGGTTTATTTAATAAAAATACAATTTTAGAACTGATTTTTTAAGTGTGAGTAGCAAAATAGAACATAAGGTAGATTTTACAATGCAATATCTTCACATATCAATGCAATTTTAAGACAAATGTGGATATTACTGTTGTTACAGGTAAGACATTGGGTCTTCATGCAAATTAGTTTAATTATTCTTCATAAAAATATGGGACATAATTAAGCCTCAAATACTATTGATATGTGAACCATAACAACGTATCTTGCCATTTGTGAAACAATGACGATTTTGTATTTCAATTATGTTGTCTTTTGTACACCAAATAGCTGCAACTTTTGAGAATGACTCATCAGGGACTAGTTACTGAGATCCCCTGGCCATCCCCTTTTTCAATCCGGGCGAGTATTCTTTTGCAGCTTGATATTTGTTTGTGTGTTTCTTGCTCACATGTGACCAGGAAAATAATATCGTGTCTAATCCCTGCACCTCCCTATCGAGTTTAGGTACATTCTCACCATAAGCATCGTAATCTGGCTTTTGATATTTTTTTTTATAGATACAACCGTGTGTATCCGAAGATAATATCAGTTGTCCCAATCAAAGACAATCAGCAGATTTTCTAATAGTTACCTATCGGTACTTTATTCTCATTTTCTGTTTCTAGATGAAGTCAAACTGAAATATCTGAAGATGCCAAGTTTTACCATCTTCCGATTGTACGAAAGTGTGATGATAATACCTGAAATCCTAAACAACAGTAAATATTGTTTTCAGTACCAACAGACAACCACCCACTTATAATACATCTTTTCATTTTAAGTGGCTATCATACTTTAGGCATGCCCTTCATCAACAAGCTCGGAAAACATAATGTAATACTTACCTGAATCCGAGGAATCTGCAAAATATACAAAACATAAAATATATCGAGTTCTCATTTTAACAAAGAAAAACATGTCATTTGCACAGACATATTATTAAAACATTTGTCATCCAAACAGATCTTAGTTATTAACTAATCTGTCGTATAATTCTGTTTGTTTTTTACACGGGCAGTCGGTAGATCGATTTATGTTATTTTTATCATTAGCTGGGGTAAGGACTGATACAAACAGACCGAACATCATGGCCAGGCGTGAGGTGTTGGTTTTGAAAAATATGCTTTGCAGGAAGTTTCTGAAGGAAACTTTTACTGCTTTTTCTGCAACATGTGAGTTGCTGGGTCAGAGATCAGGAGATCATGGCTCGGATGATTATGTCAGCTTGTCAGAGCACATGTCATGATGATCCGGCGCAAGTGACGTATCATGTATTACAGACCTTGCCAATACAATGCCATTTTTCGTACAAGAGTCCACTGTCCATGGCTGAAGCATTTTTTCACAACATGTACAAAGAAAGACTCAGCATTGTGTTTGTTTGTTGATTGTTTATCGCCGGACTCAGCATTATTCCACTATGTAACGTCTATAAATAATCGAGTCTGGACCAGGCAATCCAGTGATCAAGACCATGAGCACCGAGATCCAATGTCAATCATCTTGGCTTAAAACATCTTAATTAACTTTTACAAACATATCTAATCTGTTATGATATTTTCAGTTATGTTTCCAACACTGTGGTGATTAGGTACAGTACCCACAATTTGCCACTATTTGTGGATCTATATTTACTGGACCGTAAAATATCGAATGGTACAAAAACTCAGTGGGATTTTTGTATTGTTTCATATATTAGCCAATGTTTATTGACTCAAACGAATCATCTAGAATGGTATTTCCTTTAACAAAGGTATATTTTTAAGATGAATTAATGCATAACTCTCATAGCTACCGATTTCTTGAAAAGTGCGATTAGTTGAAATGTTCTCATACATATAAAATACTGCTACATCAAACATATGGACACAAGATTAGAAATTTTCTCACATGCGATAGCTAATACGTTAGATAGTTTTGGGATTATGCAGCCACAAGTCTATGCAGTCTTAGCTATAGTCAAAGTACTCCTAGTGTTTTCTTTTTCAATCCGGGAGATTATTCTATGCAGCTTGATATTTGTTTGTGTGTTTCTTGCTCACACGTGACCAGGAAAATAATATCGTTTCTAATCCCTGCACCTCCCTATCGAGTTTAGGTACATTCTCACCATAAGCATCGTAATCTGGCTTTTAATATTTTTTTTATATATACTACCGTGTGTATCCGAAGATAATATCAGTTGTCCCAATCAAAGACAATCAGCAGATGTTCTAATAGTTACCTGTGGGTACTTTAATTCTCATTTTCTGTTTCTAGTTGAAGTCAAACTGAAATATCTGAAGATGCCAAGTTTTACTATCTTCCCATTGTACGAAAGTGTGATGATAATATCTGAAATCCTAAACAACAGTAAATATTGTTTTCAGTACCAACAGACAACCACCCACTTATAATACATCTTTTCATTTTAAGTGGCTATCACACTTTAGGCATGCCCTTCATCAACAAGCTCGGAAAACATAATCTAATACTTACCTGAATCCGAGGAATCTGCAAAATATACAAAACATAAAATATATCGAATTCTCAATTTTACAAAGAAAAACATGACATTCGCACAGACATATTATTAAAACATTTGTCATCCAAACAGATCTTAGTTATCAGCTAATCTGTCGTTTAATTCTGTTGGTTTTTTACACGGGCGGTCGGTAGATCGATTTATGTTATTTTTATCATTAGCTGGGGTAAGGACTGATACAAACAGACCGAACATCATGGCCAGGCGTGAGGTGTTGGTTTTGAAAAATATGCTTTGCAGGAAGTTTCTGAAGGAAACTTTTACTGCTTTTTCTGCAACATGTGAGTTGCTGGGTCAGAGATCAGGAGATCATGGCTCGGATGATTATGTCAGCCTGTCAGAGCACATGTCATGATGATCCGGCGCAAGTGACGTATCATGTATTACAGACCTTGCCAATACAATGCCATTTTTCGTACAAGAGTCCACTGTCCATGGCTGAAGCATTTTTTCACAACATGTACAAAGAAAGACTTAGCATTGTGTTTGTTTGTTGATTGTTTATCGCCGGACTCAGCATTATTCCACTATGTAACGTCTATAAATAATCGAGTCTGGACCAGGCAATCCAGTGATCAAGACCATGAGCACCGAGATCCAATGTCAATCATCTTGGCTTAAAACATCTTAATTAACTTTTACAAACATATCTAATCTGTTATGATATTTTCAGTTATGTTTCCAACACTGTGGTGATTAGGTACAGTACCCACATTTTGCCACTATTTGTGGATCTATATTTACTGGACCGTAAAATATCGAATGGTACAAAAACTCAGTGGGATTTTTGTTTTGTTTCATATATTAGCCAATGTTTATTGACTCAAACGAATCATCTAGAATGGTATTTCCTTTAACAAAGGTATATTTTTAAGATGAATTAATGCATAACTCTCATAGCTACCGATTTCTTGAAAAGTGCGATTAGTTGAAATGTTCTCATACATATAAAATACTGTTACATCAAACATATGGACACAAGAATAGAAATTTTCTCACATGCGATAGCTAATACGTTAGATAGTTTTGGGATTATGCAGCCACAAGTCTATGCAGTCTTAGCCATAGTCAAGGTACTCCTAGTGTTTTCTTTCAGAACTACACACGCCGTACATTTGCTTGATAAAACCTAAGGCATTTGGGCATTTATATTTGAAAGTATTCTTCTAACATGTCATATAAACGAATGAATAAGTAAGAGTTACTTTTATTGTGTTAAGTATCGATAATCACTAATATTTTTTTACATATTCTCTCTCTTATCGGCATATATATACTATTCACAGTTACATATGTAATCCCTATACAGCAATCGAAGCTGCATATTGTAACCTTGTTCAAACGTGAACTACCCGCCTTTAAAATTGTCAAGGACATTTGCAGTACATGTTTTGAAAGTCCTATATTTCAGACCGATGGGTATATTACGCATTCCCATGATTACCAACTAATCTGAACAATGTTCAAAGGAATCTTCTCTCGTGACTATTAAGATATTGAAAATGGTTTACTGAGTCACGTTACCAGTACACAGGAAGAAGATTTGTTGATATTTGCTTGGGGACTCTGATGAAAATAGGTAATCAACAACATATGATGGTCATCACAGTTCCTTCCTTGCTTACTGGGTGTGCTTTGACTTTGTAGTTTAGCATGGATCTTTGCATATTAAATAGAAATGATAAATATATGTTTCATTCTGCCAGTAGCATATCTGATTTTGAAAGTAACCTATCTGTTTATAAAACTCACGTGTTTGAATCACGTTTTTCTTTGCATCAATATCAAGTAGAATTGTATAAGCTTAAGGGATTTAACACATAGTCATTCGTTACTGCTATGTATGGTGACTAATGGTTCTGGAAGTGAGTGAAGTGGATTTAGACCCGTTTTATTCCTTCATTTCAGCCCACCAACGAAAGTTCAGAAACAGTTCAAATGGCCTGATGAGATTTTGGTTCCATTCAAGGACAATCTCTGTTTAGTGGAACCAAATCCAGTAGGTCACTCCAGAAGGTCCTACAGGTTATCTAGTAAAAGCTTAGGATAACTTCGCCAAGTACTTTTCACGTGCAAAGTAACAAACATGATGTTTGTCTAGTTGTTTAAGGAAAATTTAAAGTTACATTGTTAATCCCCAAATTGTCATGCTAGCTTCTTGCAGCTGTTTTAGGTTGACGTGATTTGTCATACAACGGGACTGAAAATTTAACTATTTTCGGAACGGATACGTTACTGTACATTTCTTCTGAGCGAAATGAGACACATAATAACTTGTTTGCGATAACAATCAATATTATTTGTTAACTTACCTGACACCACCATTTAGTGTTTCAACTGTTGATTTGCTATGAAAGAAACAAACTAGTAACAGATTCATTACACTGGAAGCTGAATTTCTTCAGCGAAAATGTCTCTGAAAACATTGACTTCTACGTCAAGTGAAGAAACATGACTGCTATGTTAACTGAGAACAACATTTCTTGAAACGTTGTAGAAAATATAAGGAATTTTTCTTCAAAATACAAACTGTTTTGATCTTGTTTTGAAAATTGGACAGATACGTTACTTAGAAATTCATCAACGCAAAAGTTTACATATTGAGCTAGTTCTTCACACGTTTCTTACCCAAAAGTGTTATCCTATTGAGTTCTTCAGTTCCTCATAAGAAATAATTGTTATCACGTTTAGTTCCTCAGTTTTACAATTTTGAAAATAAGCGTTATCACATTTAATTAGATTAATTTAGCAAAATTAAGTTTTCCACAAAAACCCCGTAAGAACAGAAGGTGTCTGATAATGGTTACAAGTCCGTCATCTACAAAGATATTGTCATTCTGTTGCAGTTTAATATTTGTTTGCGTGTTTCTTGCTCAAGATTGACCAGGCAAATAATATCGATTCTATGCCCCGCCCGTCCATTTTGATTTTTGGTAGATTCTCACCATTGTCATTGTAATCCTGCTTTTAATATCTTGTACCCTTGATCTAATGTGTAGCTGAGCAACTGTGCACTAAACTGGGCTAGGGCTCTCACGAGTACTCGAGTACTTGGGGCCGAGTCGGGTAAAGCGGGACTCGAGTCCAATTGAATCGACTCCAGGACTCGCAGGGGAGATACCTCTAAACATCTCATGCAATCGAGATGGATGATCGTGAGAAAAATCCAATGTCTGGACGCATTTTTATCTTCATTTAGTGGCCAAAATACGAAATGCCGTCTTTGTGGCGTTTCCCTTAGTTACGCAAACATTTGTCCTGTAAGCACCCACAATAAATACTATGGACAGAAAACCAGCTCAACAAGCAACGCTGGGGCAGTTTCGTAAGTTTGATAGCAAAAGTCGCAAGCCTGTTGACAGGAAATGGTATGAAGGTATTTCGCAAAAAGCAATGCTTATGCGCGTTAAGGATATGCGACCAATAAGTCTTGTTAAAGGGGGGTTTCAGGGCTTTCTGTGAACCATTGAACCCAAATTACCTGGTCCAATGTACTGCGACAATTCACAACTACCTCATAAAGTCGTATGAAGTTTGCAAGGAGAACAAAATATCAGTACCCAAAACAGTACCTGCGCCGTTGCCCTATAACTACGGGCGCTTGGACGAGCGTAGCCACTCACGGCTGTATCAATGTCACTGCCCACTGTACCTATGTTGGAACAACTTGTTTTCTACATAGATATTCAGTCGTTCGTATCCAGTGTATTTCAGTGTTACATATTCAACAATCAACACATACATACGCATTCAAAATAACATTCACACTTAGAGACCTATATCCTTAATAGTGAAAGTTTTAATCACAATGAATACCATTGACGTGATCTCCGTTCAGCAGAGTTTCGGAAGAAGAAATACAATGTAGTGTTACTCAATAAATGGTTAGTCTTTAGTTTGAAACGAAAACGTTTTCACTGTAAGAAGTCTCAAATAAACATCAATCCTGTTTTACATATTCTTTAAGTTCTATAGTCGATCCATCTTTACAAGATATTAGTTTCTAATGCAGCACCAATCAATGAATGCTTTATCTATGTATCTTCCAGCTTTGGAACGTGTTTTGCCGCATTTTAACCGTGATTAAGGTTAATTGATTATGTGACTTATCGTCTAAGTGAATGTTTAAAACTTGCTAATATGTCATAACTGCAACGACAAATAAATATTAGATAATCTTGAGAGTGCAGTCAAACTTAAAACCAAAAGAATAGAGAAGTAAATTGTTTGGTTTCTTTTCCCGGACACATCCAATCATATTACAGCATTTACAGGCGTAATAAGGTATCACCGGCCCAGCACATGAATATTAATCACATAATTGATCGCGTAGAACTGGGTCACAGTGACACTTACGTTGCCTTCACATTCTGTTTGCAATAATAAAAAGGTAATAGATACTTCCATTGACATTGAATATCAATTGCATTATTCAGGAACGTTTGGATTCACATATACTTGTTGCATTATTCGTAGATCGGAAGTTGGAACAGCTACGTGTATGCTTAAATGTTGGTTTCAGATAAGCATCCAAATTGTCGGGTACTCAGGTCCGAAGTCGGGTCTGTCACCTCGAGTACTCGAGTCCCAAATTTTGGACTCGTGAGAGCCCTAAACTGGGCAGACCAGGCAAACAGCCATTTCAACGTTCCCCTGAGCCGCTGCAGTGTGTTTATGCTGAAACTGCTCGTACAGAGGGGAGATGATGTTACCTGAAAGTCTTAAATAACTGTGAATATTGTTTCCAACATAAGCAGACAACCACCAACTCATAATTTTTTTTATTTTTTTAAAACTTTTTTTTGTGTCTGTGAGTGTTCAAATGGCTATCACACTTTAGGTATGGCTTTCATCAACAAACTCTTGTTTATTAGCACAAATGTAATTTTAGAAAAAAATATTTTCATTGATAAACCTGTTAGGAATCAACTAGTATGTGCTTTTATCCTGATTTAATGTTTGTACATTG